GTAAGGAGAGACAGGTCTTTAGAGAGGGACATCATGCTGGGTAGAGTAGAGGGATAATGCAGGAGGGGAAAACCCTCTAATGAGGTGGATTGATTCAGTGACTGGGGTACTCGGGATGGGTATGTCAGAGGCAATGCGATTGGCACAGGATAGAGCAGGGTTTAGGGCTGTTGTACATAGGGTCATTATGAGTCGCAAACGACTCGACGGCACACAACAACAACAACATAAAATATGCTAGAAAAATCTCTATATTAAGTTCTTATTAGTGTTTTAGCCACCATTTACTTATTCATCAGTTTGTCATATTGTGGTAGCTTGCATACTATGATACTAGAAGCTGTGGAATCAGTATTTTAAGTAAGTTCACCTTACTGTTGGGCAAGTTTCAACAGAATTTTAAGACCTTAAGACTAATATAAACTACAAAAATGGAATTGATGATCTATTTATATATTAAAAAAATTACCAGTGAAACTTTATGAGTAGCAGTGGAACATTGTAGTGCTGAAAAATAAGTCCCGCGTATTGGAAAGTGCTTGGAATATGACTAGAGAAGAACAGGAACATCAAAGTAGATTTGATTTTAATGACTTGAATGGGACCTTTATTTACCAGTGCAGCATGGCTTAAAATGAGAAAAACAGCTGCAACCATCCATCAATTATTAGAGTGTTGTTGTTGTAATGTGCTGTCAGGTCAACTATGATTTATAGGGACCCTGTGGACAGTAGCACTAGGAAAAATGGAAGTTGTAAGTATGCAATTCCTTGAAAGTATCAGTGACCTGAAATGCTCTGGTATTAAGCCATATGGTTTATTGTGCTGGAAATAATATATTGAAGAGGAATTGCACTGCATCCATCATTAAAAAAGAACAATTCAAGATCAATTCTTAAATGCAACACTTTCCACTGATAGGATAATATCCATACACCTATAAGGAAGACGTGTTTAAACATGTTTTCATGAGGGACTAGTCCTCCGAAAAAGACATCATGCTAGCAAAGGTAGAGGGCAAGCAAAAGAGAGGCATACCCTCAGATGAGTGACACAATGAATGCAGCAGTGGGTTTGAGCATGGCAGATATTTTGAGTTTGGTACAGAATAAGATAAGGTTCGGATCTGTTGTTCATAGTGTTATGAATGGTAAACCATTTGATGGCACTTAATAGCAACAACAACAACATTCAAATGTTTTTTAACTAGGAGTTTCTTTTCTATATTCAAATTCAGTTAAAAATTAAATACTGTTTTCCTTTAATATATTATTTTACAGGTTAGTCTAAATCAAGAAGATCTTAATCTGTTATTTAAAATATTAGCAGAAAATCTCGGTGGACCTATTGAAGACGTGAATAAAATGAAACCAAGAATACAGGAGGCAGGTAAAAAGCTGATATTGATAACATGATTTGTGGTTGTCATAGAGTACTGTTTAGTCTGAACAGACCCAAATACCAGACCTTTCAGTGAGTATTCTAAGGCAGTGAATCCCACAAGAGAAGATTACCCATCTTTCTACCAGGGAGCAGCTTGTGGATTCAAACCTCATGCCTTTGGATTAGCAGCACAGCTCCTTACCAGTAGGCCGCCAGAGACAGATGTTTCTATTTAGGGAGTTGCCCTGCCAGCCCAAAGGTGGACTGTTTGAATTCACCAACTGCGCATGAGAGAGAGAGGGAAAATTTCCTTTGGTGTAGTTTGCAGCTTCTGAAAACCAAACTGGAGGATCAATTATGAGTCGGTGCCGTCTTGACAGCAATGAGAGTTAAGAGTATGAATGATAATAAAAAGACAATAAATAATATAATACATGTGCAAGTCATAATTTGTGTTATCAGGAAGACAAGATGGTATTTAATGAAACTGTAGAGTTAACTGATAACTCTTTTAGTTAAGTAGGGACATAAGGAAACATTTCCAGTGAGTTTTTATATAGTTATTATAAATATATGTACAATAAGCCTCCAGATATTTTGATCTGACACTATGCTAATTTTGATCAGATTTTTAGCAGACGTTACTAGAGAAATAGGACCCCTGGTAATATAATGGGTCAAATTTTGTGCTGCTGAACAAAAGGTGGTAGCTCAAACCCACCACTAACTATAAAGGAGGTAGAGGAGAGAGATTCTGTAAAGATTTACAGCCTCAGACACTAAATGGGGAAGTTCTGTTGTGTTCTTTGGATTTATTATAAGTCAGAATTAAATGAAGGCAGTGTATTTTAATAGTAAAATAGAAAGAAATGAAAATGGCTGACAACTTTTAATTGTTTTAGAGGTACTGAAAAATTATTCTGAAATAATTGGGAAGTGCTAAGAAAATTTAAATTATTATTCCAGTGGTAAAGGCAAAGTAGCTATTAGACTTTTTTTTTAAAAAGGTGTTTTTTATTTTCACCGATTCACTCATA